TGCGGTGCCCCCGGGGGCTGTGTGTGGATTACAAGACATATGTTATTGTTGTTCCTTTTGCAAGGCTCTGCTGAAGCATTGTTTCATGGGAAATGCTTAGAGGAAGAAGACGTTTGTGCAAGCTGGGGACCGGTGATTCTTTTAAAAAATGTAAGCAGCCAAAAATCACTTTGGATTCTACCCAGGGCTAGCATTATTCCTCACCCTTCCCCTGCCCCACAAACCAGCCCTCAAGCATCTGCGAGGAAGCTCTGGAATTTTGGAGCAAAGCCTTCCTGACGGGAACCTCTTCTCTACTCCCTGCGTGAGAATCTAACTCTGAGAGTCTAACGTTTGGAAGGAAGATGTCTGTATTGTTTTGTCATTTTACATGTTCATGGCCTGACAGGAAAACGTTAAGTACTTTGAAGAGAGCAAAGGCTTGGGAGGAATAACGCTGTGGAGAAGACCAACCTTCTGGTCTTGGCACATCCCTTTTCTAATCCAGGCTGGTCTCCTGCTCTCTTTCTCAGCAGCGTCCCCTGTCAGACTGGACGACTGGCCCAATGCAGGAATGTTTTCAGCATCTCCTGGGACATGGCTGCCCCTCACCTTCGTTTGTGTTCGAAGCCCACAGAATAACGAAAAGTTCTGAAGTGTTTCCCGCGGTGTGGATGTTGATGTCTTTTTCATTTGTAGTCCTCCCTTCACCAGCTGCTCCTGACAGCAAAATCAAAATGAGATGAACTCTCTGAAGGGGAAAATATTTCATTTATTGATGGAAAAGAAATGCTTATTGTTGCGGAAATCTTCCCGGTTTTTCTCATCATATTTTGCCTGTAAACAGGAATAGGAAACGGATGAAGGTCTAGTGCCGGGGAGAGTAAGGGAGGTGTGATCGCTGTGGTTCCCTGAGGCTGAGTTTGCTGTGCTCACTGCCTCAGCATCCGAGTTGGCTTGGTTTGATATTGGCCTTGGAGTCTGCATTTTAAAATGAGGTGTTGTCATTGATTTCATTTTATTTTGAAACAGAGTCTCACTCTGTTGCCCTGGGTAGATTGCTGTGGTGTCATTGCTCACAGTAACCTCAAACTCCTGGACTCAACTTATCCTCCTGCCTCAGCCTCCCAAGTAGCTGGGACTACAGGTGCCTGCCACCCCATCCAGCTACTTTGTCTATTTTTAGTAGAGATGGGTCTTCCTTTTGCACAGGCTGGTCTTGAACTCCTGAGCTCCAGCAGTCCACCCACCTCAGCCTCCCAGAGTGTGAGGACCACAGGTGTGACGTACTGGGCCCAGCCCAGTGAGATTTATTATTAACAGTCCCATTAAAATAAACTCAGGTGGCTTCTGTAGGCTTCTTGGTGCTCCCAACTTTGTCACAGCTTGTTGAGTCATGTGTGATGTGCACCTGCAGGGGTTTGATCTGAAAGGTGACCAGCATCACATCAGCTCTTTTACCTAACTCACGCAGTAGAAAGGGCTGGTGTCTTTTCATGGGGGCTGAGAAAATGAGGCACCCCCAGAGTGCACCCTCGGGGCTCGTGGGATAGGAGAAGAGCTGTCTGTGCAGCACCCGGGGACATCTGGGGCGTCAGTCACTTGACTGAGAACCTGAACGTGTCTGGGATTCCAGAAGCCTCCTGGCCACTGGTCGGATTGTGGAAAACAAGAACGATTACGGGTTGTGTGGAGCAGTGTTGCAGCAGGCACAGTGAGCGTCTGAGCACTCCGCACTAGTTTTGTGTTCTATTTTATTGTGTAATATACCATTATGTACTGAAGTTTTTTGAAAAGCATTTTTACCTTGCTTGAAGACCGTTTGTAAAAATGAGCTAAGACCACTGAGTGGATGTATAATATAAAATAAACTTCTCAATTTCTTTTTCTCAAGAAAGCTGGTGCTGGGTCTGTAACACGTATGGAATGTTTGTTGACATTTGCTGCCCACGATGAGGCTTGCAGAGGCATCAGTGACCACCCCAAATACAGAAGTCTCAAATCTGATAAAAAAGCACTCCTGTCTTTTTTAAAAGTTACTGCAGTCGTTATTTTCAGGAGATTCTGTGCAGCTGCAGAAAGCAGGTTTTTACATGACTCGAAAAAGCGAGACTTTTCCTGTCTGTCCAGGTATTTGCTTTTATCATCTGTATCCTCTAAATTCACTCATTTTCAACGCCAAGTTTTTCTGGACACACAAAATAAAGCCATCACTTTCGATGCGTAGCCTTCATTAGCAGGAGAACTCTACATGGACTCCCACAACCCCAGTTTTATGAAGTGTTATCAGACACTCCAAGTAGGAAAATCAGTCAATTCCAATAATAGTTGGATTTTATATTCAATTTGTGACATCGAAGTAAAGCTTTGGAAATTTTCTCAAAAAGGCAAAATCTGGAGGTTGAGATTACTACTGTCAGCATGGTTATAAAGTTCAATATTAAGGTAAAATTACTGTTCTGCAGTGATGATATAAACAAAATCTGGTAGAATATTTTTGTGATAAAGCTAATGTTCTTCAAGAGAAAAGAGTGGAGCACAAATTTACTTGGAAGTGGTGTGCTATGAATTCATCATTGTGTCTAAACAGACTCTGATACTCTGCCAGTCAACATGGAAATTGTAGGTGCCACAACTTAAAAATTTTTCAGATATACAGAATAACTTAACTACCACATTATTTTAATGAAATTGATGTTGAATTAAAAACAATAATTTGGCATTGCAGTCTATGTTTTCTTGTTTCTTCCCAATAGTTGGATTTTAGAAACATTGGAACTTTTATGAACTAAGTTCTGGGTTGATTTGATATTTGGGGGGAAATCTGTCCTCTGATGCTTATTTATATTTTATTTAAAAAGTGTGTAAATATACAATTTGGAATACTTTCACCCAACTGGTCAACATAGCCTTCATGTCATTTTCTTAGTTGTTATGTTAAGACATTTATATTCTACATTTAGTAAGACTCAGTACACAGCTATGACTTAATACAAAAAAGAAAGTGGGGAAAACAGAAAAAAAAAGTGTCTAAAATCTTTATAACTATAATCAATAAACAGAACACCAGAAATCTTTAGATTGTGAAATTTTGCCAATGGGGGAGCATTGTCATTATTGGAAACAAAGTTTGCAAACAGGAAAACACTGATGTTCATTTCTGTAATAGGGAGGGGGGAACGGAACAAAACCCGGCAAACATAACAGGTAAATTAGAAATCACTTTTGGTATTCTGTGATTTCACTTTGGCTCAACTTGTGAGAGCTCCTATTTTTAACTGAAAAAGACACATTTACTACCAGAATGGAGTGAACTCAAGAAGGCCTAAAATATTATTTTATCTAAATACAGCAAAAGGCAACAGGCAAAAGGGGCTTTGTCTTATTAAAGTGGTTGTTAAAGAAGGCTCCTCTGAATGGAAGCAAAAGGAAATACCGTATGTGAAAATATTTGGGCTGAAATATTTACACATTTTAAAGTGGAAAAAATTAGAGTTGAGACTATGCTGCACATGGCTGAATCTGCTCTTAGAGAATGCATTTTCTCAAAGACATTTATTGTGGTTTCCAGAAAAGAGTCAGTTGAATGTGGCAACAACTTCATATTATTAATCATAAAATGCAATGCTGAAGATAATTGTAGGTAATTTTGTGAAAGAGTTAAAAATAAAATCATTTTGGGTGCACCTGTGGCTCAAAGGAGTAGGATGCTGGCCCCATATACCGGAGGTGGTGGGTTGAAACCGGGCCCTGGTCGAAAACTGCAAAAAAATAAAAAAAAAAATAAAATCATTTTGAAAAAAGCAATCAGAAAAATATCAGTGAGACAGATACATCTTACTAACTGATCTAAATATATGAATCTCCACTAAGGATGCCTGTTCAGCTTGTGTTACTTTTAGAAGTTCAGCTAATCAATATAATTGAACTTTTTTGTCTTAGTGTATGAGTTTCCGTTGTTTAAACTTTCTAAGAAATACTTTTAGTTTTGAAACAGTTTTAATTTTTGCTAAGAAATATTGTATTATTGAAATTAGTTTTGTAAGTCATTTTTATCTTTAAATAAAACTTCTAGGCTCAGCGCCTATAGCTCAAGTGGCTAAGGCGCCAGCCACATAAACCAGAGCTGGCAGGTTTGAATCCAGCCTAGGTCTACCAAACAATGACAAGTACAGCCAAAAACTAGCTGGGTGTTGTGGTGGGCGCCTGTAGTTACAACTACTTGGGAGGCCAAGGCAAGAGAATCCTTTAAGCCCAGGAGCTGGAGGTTGCTGTGAGCTGTGATGCTACAGCACTCTACCCAGGGTGACAGCTTGAGGCTCTGTCTCAAAAAAAAAAAAAAACAACAAACCAAAACCAAAGCAAAAAAACTTCTAGAGGTCCACCCCGGTACTGGTCACTGTACTGGTCAATAAATGCGTATCCCAAACATTTATGATTTTAACTATTTTCAGCATCCACGTTTACTATCAAGCATTTTAGTTTGGACGATACATAGGACCCTAACTGTAAGGTCCTCATAGGCCAGACCAGTCAAGGGAAACCAGCTTTAGTAAGTGTAGTCTCACCGGAATGCAAAAAATTTGTAGGAAGCAGTGATGGCCCCTGAAGGGTGGATTCCTCCATTTATTCACACATTGGAGCACACTTGCTGAGCACCTGCAAGGGACCCAGGTGCTGGGGACAGACGTGTCAATATTATAAACATGCGGCTTCCACTACAGAATGGAATACAGGATGGGCCTTCTTACAGAACTGATGTTCAGGCTGAACGTTTAGGAGACACTGAAAGAAGCTGGAATTTCTGGAGCACAGAGTGAGGGAGGATGTGTGGAGGGGGAGAGGCAGGCAGAAGTGACTTACACCCATGAAGCCACAGAAAGGATTTGGACTGAAGGCCACGGAAAGCTATTAATGGATTTTAAGCATAAAAGTAGCTCAATTTTTCTTTCTTTCTTTTCTTTTTTTTTTAAAAGAAGATTCCTTTTTTGGATGAAGACAAATCGCAGAGGACAGTGTGAACACAGGAACATGGGTGAGGCTGAGACGGCCGTGGTCTGGGTGAGTGAGGGTCTGACTTGCTTTGCTGCTGGTGGAGGTCAAATGATTGGAGCCGAAGTGTAGGAGGCAGAAGAGAGAAGATTCGGGTGGGACTGGACAGAGTAGGCCAAGAGCAGGGGTGGAGTGAAGGGATTGCCGACTAAGGGGAAAATCAGGCTTTTAGAGAATTAGTTATATTCTGAAGTCTCACTGGGGCCTATAGACCGAGACGGAGGCCTCCAGCCCAGGAGCAGCCGTTCTAGGAGGTTCTGCCAGACCGACAGACTCCAAGGTGGCATTGCAGTGCACGGTTTATCTGCAGGTGGCGGGGGCTCAGTATGGGCAAGATCATCAAACGTGCTTAGAAGTTACATAAAAGCAGAAACACATCAAGGTTTGGGTGCGAGAGTACATCTGGCTGTAATTTACAGAGGCATAATCACTAATTAATCACTAATCCTGTCACACGTTATCTTACGAGTAGGAACAGGCAAGGATGGGGTTATTTATCTTTAAGGGATACAGGGGCTCAGGCAGGAGATGAGGGGGACGTGTGCTCTCCTGGTTTGTCTTCAAAGCATCTTTCCAGAGAGTTACAGGTTGTCGCTGAGCTGGTGTGTTCAGAATTCAGCTTCTTTGCCACTGTGAAGTGGTTGCCACTGTCCCCACAGTATCGAGGATGACACCCAGGTTGCTGGCTTGGCCATGACGGTGCCATTCATTGAGCCCATGCTAGATAAGAGCAGAGAGCATGGCAACTATCCCTCTCAATTTCCATGTGAGACAGTGAAGCCTGAGAGGACAGAATGACTTTCCTGAGGCCACAGAGATGGGGCCCAGATTAGAATGCAGCCTCTGGCACCGAGACCAGTGCCATGTCCCTGTCACCATCCCAAATCTCCATATAAGAGTAAAACGATATCCAAGGGGAATTCGCCCTTGATTCCGATTGGCCTGGATCCCAGTCCCTCCTGCCCCATCCCCCAGGGAGGCAGTGCTGCTAGAGGGGCTGGGGGGAAGAAGCTCTTATTCTGGGTGGTGATGACATCTCTTTTGCTGCCTGGCTCTCCTGGTTGCCCTGGTGCCTGTTCAGTTGTAGCTTTCCGGCCTCACTCGGAGGTTGCTGCTCATGTTTTAGACTCCCTTGGGTGGCCTCATACTTCTTGTGATCTTACCACCTGCTCTTACCTTCCTGGTACTCAAGCTAATGCCTCCAGTCAAAGCATCTTCCTGTGGCTTCAGATGCCTGTGGGCATCAAAACATCTACCCCAGCCTATGGCTGACGGTTACATGCCTGCGTCACTCTCCTTCACATAGCCCTTTCTTGGCCCCGTGATACATCCAGGAACATCTAACTGGGCACACGAGGTCCCATGGCCAGGCCTCCATCTAATTCTCTACCATTATCTCTATATGGTCCTTGCCTTTCCCTGGATCCCACAAGCCACCAAATCGCCATCAGCCCCTCCCAGCCCTTTGTGCCCCCCTGTTTTGCTAACCCAACTCTTTTCACCAACATGTCAAGCTCTGCAAGGCACTGCCATCCGTAATATTTTTATCAGAAAAGATTCTCACAGGAAAGGGGATGTTTGTATGGAATGTTCTTAGTGCTTTGCTGCAGAGTACGATGTACTGGGGTCTTGGTGAGCAAAGACGTGGGGTTTGGCAGCCCCCACAGGGATTTCTTTTCTCTCTCACTGAAAATCGCTGTGTAAGGCAGATACGACCCCCACCCTTCCATGTAAAACAGAGGTGTCCATTGTCTCCAGTGAGTTTCCGCTCCCTGAGACAAAATCATCTCTTTCTGTCGCCACCAAGACATAGTCCATTTGGAAGCCCGAAGGTTCCCCCTGCTTAATTGACGAGGAACTAATAAAGCAGGGCCTGTTCCTTGAGGTACAGCCGCTTAATGGCAGGACTCCTGTCTCACTTTTGCACACATATTAAATTGCAGCCCAGAAGCCAAATCTTCTACTCTTTGCAAACTTAATGGAAAGCGAGGGAGGCAGGAACCAGGTAAAGGCTGAACGAGAGCCATTGTGTGCTGGGAGTTATTAAATTTTCTCTGGGGCAGTCCCAGAAAAATACGCCTGGGTCTTATCTTAGAATAATAGAATCGGAAGGGGCCGGAGAGGTTATCAGAATTTAGAGGTAATCTGCCACCAAGGCTAGAAATCCCATCTGTGGGGACCCTGATGAATGGTTCATACCCAGCCGGTTTGTGTGTTTCCAGTGGCTGGGAGCTCAGTGTAGCTGGTCATTGTTAGAAAACAGAGAGTTTATGTTAGCAAGGAGCTGCTTCAGAGTTGTCTAAAAATATAATCTGTTTCTAGAATAAACTTCGGGATGGAGCCAAAACAAATTTTCGCCATCTTTGGTTCTTGAGGGTTCCCAGACAGAGCTAGATAATTCAATTTGAGAGGCCCACAGAGACACAGGGGCTCTGAATCTGTGCCCACATACCCTGGATTTATTCAGAAAAGGCCACTGTAAACTTGGTGCTCCATCCTCGGACGACACGCCGGACGATGGCACTGCGTCCCCGCAGCGTGAGACACCCAGGACAGCGGTTGTTCCCATCTCAGTTGATAGAAACCATAGATGGAAAAAAAGGACCCTTGAAACAAAAATGTCACCCCTGAAGTGAATTTCTTTCATAAACCCTTACAGCGTTTACATGGGTTCATTTACAACTGTAGGATGTAAATATGGATTCTCAGACTTCTTGCAGAAGACTCTACATCTGCCTGGACTTCTAAGTTGCACGCACTGGAAGTAAGTTAGGTTAGGAGCAGGGTCATATGTCCCTGAGGGCGCTTATTTGTTGTGAATGACTGATAATTTCTTCTTAGTCAGTTTGGGTTGCTGTTACAGAATCCCATCCTCTGAGTGGCTTAAACGATAAACGGTCATGCCTTATTGTTCTGGGGACTGAGGAGTCCAAGACCCAGGCGCCCGTGGATCTGGTGTGTGGAGAGGGCTCCCCTCCTAGGGTGCAGCTTCTTCTCCTTATGTCCTCCTGTGGTGGCGTGGACAGAGAAAGAAAGCCAGCTCTCTTGTGCTCATTTTCATAAGGACACTGACCCGGACATGAGCGCTCTGCCTTCCTGACCTAACCACCTCCCAGAGGCCCCACATCCTACTGCTGCCACATTTCACGTTAGGATTTCAACAAATGGATTTAGGGGGTACATGACCATTCAGTCCATCACCACGATGTTGGTCAGAATCATCTTTTTCTGTTGCATTTTGGCTGCTTTTAATCCATGCTCCCTGATTGGTGTCCGGCAATCAGTCAGGTTGAACAAACTCAATCAGGGTTGCCACAGAGAAGTATCTTAAGGCTTCCAGGGACCCAGAAGGTGCTGTGGGACATGGTCTGACATGGTGGTCAGAGCTCATCTTCTAGAGTTAGAAAACTGGGTTATTGCTGAGTGTCACCATTCCCTATGTGAATCTGGCCAATTTTTCTCTGCTGTACCTGTCCTAGATTTAGTTTCCTTATCTGTAAAGTGGGAATAGTAATAGTCTTCATTTCCCAGGAGTGATGGGAGGATTAAGTGGGGCAATAGATGTGAAAGACCCAGTACAATGCCCACGAATCCTAAGGGCAATTGTTAGCCCAGAAAGGGCTTCAGCCTTGGTCCTGTTGCTCATCACACAAGGAGCCAGTTACTGAGACAACAAGGATTGTCACAGAAGAGGAATTTTAAGCAAAAGATGTCTGTTAAGAGAAGTAGTCTCAATTCTGTCTCCCTGACCAACTAAGGGCGAGGTGGGCTGTGGAATGCAGGCAGGCTTGTGAGGTTGAAGTCACAAGGTCTTCAGCTGATCTGATTCAAGAATAGCTCTTAGTGATGGGTAGCAAGTCCTGTGGCCAGACTGGGTAAAGCTTGTTGTTAAGATTGACCAGTAACGTCTGAGAGAACAAAAAATAACTTAGGAAGAGGGTCATGTTGCAAGACTAATTGCATAATCTTTTTAGTTTTCTTTTCCCTGTCCTCCTCTTCCTCCTTCTCTATTTTCTCCATCATTGCCATTATCATTGTCATCTGTACTTAAGAAGTGATACTTGGGCCACCTCCGTGGCTGTCCCCTGGCATGAGATGAATTGGGGCAACCAGTGCCCCATGCTTTGAAATTCTTCTTTGGGTCCCTTGAAGCTACAATGACTGGAAGAATGAGTGGTTTGAATAATAATCAGTAAAAGAGGCCTGAAGCTCAAGGCTAGATATCAATTGGGAAACACTACCCACCGCCACAAAGGCCAGAGTTTGGCAGACTTCTCTCTAGAAAGGGACATATGATACATATTTTCTGCCCCACAGGCCAGTCACAGCTTATGAGCCATCAACCTTTAGCTTCTGCCCTGCCAGGTGTCCAAAGTCTGTTCTTTGGCTTTAGCTGGGGCCTTCAGAAAGTCGAAGGCCGACTTCAGTGTCATTTCTGCCATCTCTGGACTTAGGTGCGATCAGTGATTTTGTGACCTCAGAGATGAGTAACACATTTACTGCTACTCACATCCCCATGGCGTGTCATTTGAATTTATTGTTAATACACATAACATTTACTTTCACAGAAAGTTAAGCATTCTAGATGTAATCTGGAGCACAAGATCTGTTCATGTTCTTTATATTGAAATTTTATCTTCCCAGTTCAATGCTGAAATAATTATTTGTGTGTGAAAGCTGAGAATTTAGACTGTTAAATAAATAGGAAACTAGACTGATCATTTACAAATCTAAGAGATAGTGTGTCAGCTGGATAACTGCATGAAGGACACTTATGTATTTTTTGAGACAGCAAATGCTTATAAACATTTAAATAATAATACACAAAGACAGAATAACAGAGATGTATGACATTCTAATCTTTACATAATTCATTGAATGTTCAAAACTTTAAAAACATCTTGGAGAACTCTACTTAATCTTTGTCATATTTAATTTCATTGAGGCCATGTGAACATTTTACTGTGTTAATGTCATGGCTAAGAGCGTAGACTCTGCCATTAGATGGG